ACTGTAGACGCGCGGCTGTCACACCACAGTCGCGCCACTACAGCCCTTCTACAAGTGTTTAATTTTAATGCGTCCTTAAAAGATGATTTTGTCCATCGGAAAAAAGCATGCAAAGTGCGACTACTATTTACAGAGTTAATTTGTTTTAAACAAATACGAATTTTAAAAGTCGCGTCGACGAGTCTCATCATCGAAAACGTTTTAAATTGCTCAGTTTCTAAAGACTGCCAGGAACCCATTATAATTTCAAAACTTATTTCTGTTAATTTACTAACGTGGTACTTATTCATGGGGAAACTATAATTTGTATAGTTGAACAGAGTACCTTATTACCTATGTATGTCCAAATGAGTTGTAATGACTAAAGTTAGGCTTAAAATGATCGGTTGTGTTCTTCAAATCATGGGTTATTTACCTTTTATTTGGCTTAGCGAGAAATGTAAATCACTGCTTTTAAGTAGAACTGAAAAGTTTTAGTCGACAACTTCCGAAAAACGTAGGTATTTGTAAAATCACGTATATTCTGTTTAATATTTAAACCATAATCCTAAACGTACATAAACATTGTTTTAAAATTAGTTTTAATGTTTTACACATACTGTTCAAGACGTTGTTACGTGAAAAATGATGTACTGACTAGGAAAGAAATTGGAATGCTACAATATTTTGGTCGTTGTATCCAACGACCATAAAATCGTCACCATAGAAGAAGAAGTCACCGTACTTAGCGACACGGATCGTAACATACCAGACAGGAAAATTGTATGTCCATATCGCTGTCTATTTATCAAAAGAACAAATGGGAAGAAAGTACCAGTAGTTCTGTCAACAGCACTGTACAACAGCACTAGTGGGAGAGAAAATTCTCAGTAGTTCTGTTGAAGAAAACCGTCTATTTATTAACATAACAGAACAAATAGAAAAAAGTACCAGTAATTCTGTGAACAGAACTTGTGGGAATAATGGATTTTTTTGACGATCGACGCGGTCGTGTCAAGCTACAAAAATACGATATCGATCGTCTACTTCTTACACTTTTACTCGATTTTATTTGATCACACGTGTTGATCCACAAAACGATGTCGATCGTCTGTGGCTTACAAATTTACTCGTTTTGTTTGATTACACATGTCGACCGTGTGTTCGAGCAAATCTGTAGGCACCTTAAAACAACAATGTCATACTTTTGATCTACTTTCTACAATATACACAAACTGGTTTCTTATAAAAATCGCAGTTAAATTATGTTCTAGTTCTTACACAATGAGTAATAAAATTAAAGGCCATATTAATATCATAAAGTCCGTTACGATCATATCGTTTACCTAAACTTTCTATGTTTTGTCTACCTACTTGTTTCTCACGTCTAACAGTTGTATTAAAAATACAGTGAGTGACATTGTGGTTAAAGTCTATACACAATCTTTTATTTATATACGGGCACCGTATGGTATACGTACTGCTTTGCATTTGCTCTATTCAGTCAGCTTTTGAAAACATTTTTTGTTACATCCAGTGGCGGATTTGTAGTCTTCGCCGCCCTAGGCCCCAGGCCATGCAGTCAGTACCAGCCGCCCCTTTCTTAGCACTCGTATACTTAGTAGTAGATATCTATATTTACATATCAAATGTTTCGTACATTTGTGATTTAGGAAGATTATTGTTATACGATGCGGTGAACTTTGAGTTATTTCTTGTGAAATTTTTGTCACGGCCAATCGTGAAATCGCCCCTAAAATCTGGCCGCCCTAGGCCCGGGCCTATGCTGGCCTTAGGATAAATTCGCCACTGGTTATATCTACTACTAATATAATATATAAGAACCTTTTTAACTGTTTCTTTTCGACATAGAGATTGCTACGTCGGATAGTTTCATACACGCCATTACGCCTGTCGTCCACTGAGGTACCTACAGTATGCACCGAACATACCTGAAACCTACCCCTTTGTCCATTCGCCCCGCTCTTTCAACGCAGCAATTTGGCTTGGTACTTTAGACCTATTCTTTTTTAAAGACATTCTCAATCTGTTCGAGGTACGCCGAAGTAGACTTTCCCCACGTTTCCAGTCATATACTTTAAGAGATTCAATTAACATACGATAAGGCCTAGACATATCTTTTGACGCGCAGGTAACTTATTGTACATGCCAATCGTCTTTTATAATTATTCCAGTTTTATGCTTATTGGGGTCTGAGATTCATTTGTTACCTTGAACTACGTAAGCGTAAGCTTGATGGCTGTTTTTTGAAATTACAAACTGCAAATTCTTAGAATTTAAATTTGTATTGAATTGATATTAATTTTTTTTTTGTGAAACTACTCCACTAGTTTGTTATAATTATTAATACAAAGATCGAACACTTGGAAAAAATTCCTTCGATCCGGCCGCATTCGAACCGACGTCTTCTAGCAAATCGTGCCAGACTCTATGTCACCTAAGCCACGGAGCGACCGAACGGACCTCACCAATTTTTCTATGTGTTTGTTTGTTTGGATCTTTTGTATTCGGTTTTTCAACGACAACGACTTTTTAGCCGTAGCACCATCTATGAGCCAGTTAGGTAACTTTACAGCTACCAGCCCTGGCTAGAGATGTCGCTATATACTGTATTTAATTATTATTCTTAGAATTGCTATAGAAGTTAACGGAAGTATCAGGTTTTCTTAGGTCTGATTGTATTTTCAAGTTTCAAGTTACTTATCTTCACTTTGTTTTAGGGATTTATTTTTGTAAGAGTGGGTATATTTCATACTTACATTATTAGACTCCAAGAAAGTACAGAACTTGTACTTGGTCTTGGTTTTTTCGTGGCCGTTGTCGAAAAAGAGCGTGAATTGGGCGTCCTTCCCACGAGCGCCCACCGGAAAGTAGATACCCGCCATCAGGTGCCCTTTCTGGTCGCGCGATAGGAGACTCCTGCAAAAATTTAGATTATTGTTGATACTTTCTCCACTACCTGAGTCATCCCTAACAGTCTCCGTGAGCGTGGCGTCATTGAAGTGTTGTCACAAGAGTGATGTCATTGAGAAGTACCCACAGTGATGAGATGAATTAACGGTCCACTATATTGGTTTTTCATTTTACTTTGTCTCATTTCTTCCTGTAATTTGATGGATTCCTACTCTAAGCGAAGAATGTTTTCGCGTACCTAAAGTTATACACTAGGTTTCTCCGCTCTGTGACGTTGACGCCGTCCAAATACGGTCTGGCGGCGTAGACTAGAGATGTCTGGCACTTCAGCGCAGCGCCGCGCGTTTCCCGCTCGTGCCACTCCACGTATGAACTGTTTTGAGGGTTGAACGTGTAGCTGTACTCCTTCCTGCAGTGCGGCTCGTCTGATTGCGTGAACCAACCTGTGCATAACACATTTTGTCTTGTTGATTGTCCTGAAGAACGTAGGTACATGCTGTGGTGTGATGGATGCGGCACGGAAATGCTGCATTGATCAATCATCAAGTCAAGCTGTTGTTATCATCTAATTGATGCATCTTATCGGTCACTGTTTAAGGCTGTACGTAAAAATATTTATGAAGAATCATATAGCTTTCTAATCATTCATTATATATTTCTAGTAATTCATTAACCTCTGACCTGTCGTGACCTACAGAAGTGGGGCAGTAGCAAGCCCGCCGCCACATTAGGTTGGGATATAACATATATGTATCCTATTGTGGAAGTTTTATATAGTTTCACTTCATACCAGTATGTGGGTAAGCTCCATCGGCCATGACAGTCACGACTCTCGGCACGTGATAGCCGGGGTCGGCGAGCAGCAGCCCCTGTCTGCCGTCGATCCTGATCTGCACACCGACCATCACGTGCTCCTTCTCGGCCTCGATGACGGCGACCGGGCTGTCACCGCTCGTCACGTACTCGCGGACGTCCACTACGGCCTCTTCGCAGGAGAGCAGCGCCGTCGCGCCCGCGAATCCGAGGAACTCCTTGTCCAGTCCGCGCCATCTCCTCATCAGCTCCAGGCCCAAACCGACGCAGGTGTGCTTCTTGGCGCGGATGGGCGGCGAGTACTTCTCGTACACGTCGTAGAGCGGCTCGTCGCTCCTTTCGAAGGCGTCGTACAGCGAGATGAAGTTGCTGACCGAGTCGTAGTTGTCGGTGACGAGGAGCTTGCGGAGCAGCGCCTCGGCTCGCGTGGCGAGGTCCTCGTGCGCAGCCGAGGAGAGGTCGAGCGGCCGCCGCGGCGCGGCCCAGCGCGCGCGCGGCAGGGGCAGGCGGGTCACGGGGCGCGGCGGGGCCACTTCGGGCTGCGCGCGCGCGACCGTAGCGAGTCAACTCGGCCACTCGGCGCCCCAGCGGCCCACGGCGGGGGAGGCCGGCTCGGCCTCGGCCCGCGACCCCTCCGCGCGCGCATCGTCGCGGCCTCGCTCGCCCGCGCCATCAGCGCAAGCGCCCTTCGCGAGCACTTCACTCTGCCACTCTAGCACCGATGTTGACGGTTTTTCACGCTCTGAAATATGTACATTTCGTTCATTACACACGCCTTAAATCAGCGCCGTGAATCAGTTTTAGGACGTCCGGGCATCGATCCACATCGGCCAACCGAATACCCTTACCCACATAATATACAAGCGGAATTATTAACCGGAAGGCTTCCGGGTACATGCATAGTTAATGTGTGTCCGGTGTATACTTCCAATCACCTACGCTTAAACTGATATACATATATAATGGATTAGCCCCATGATACCACCGCTCCAAATGTAGGGCACAAATTATATTTAATTTAATAAGTTGGCAATAGTACGTTTATACGTAAACAATGTTTCTTGCTACGACGTCACAACAAAGGCTCTGGAAAATTAGATATGTCACGTGTAGAAGTCACGTTTCGGCTAACTACTCAAAGTACAATGCTTATCTTCGTTAGTATATCACCCGATAAAGACTTCCTGGATATTACAGCTGATGATTGTCATTGGGTTTACTGGGTTCCAAATTTGATACGCGTTAAAAACGAAGTAGGTTTTAAGTTAGTTATACTTAGTCTTCACTCATTGGCACATAAGGGGTGAAAAACTATTACATATTTGTATTTTTTTTGCTAAACTTTTTGTGGTCACACTTTTAATTAATAGTTGAATTATGTTACGATCTATTTGATACACCTTTGTTAAACATAGAGTATTAAAAAGAAACGAAAAATTTGAGGTGTCGTGAATATTTAGGTCAAATTAATGAGGTCAAAATCCGAGTATTAAACGCGTGCCTTTCTTAACTTGACGTTGGCGGAATCATCGATTGTATCTGGAGTTATAACACTATAAAAAAAAGTATAAGGGCATTATATATTCGTTTTGTATCCGCAGACATATTCTTTTCATTACCATATAGATTTTTGGCAGCCGAAGTAATATATTTCTAGTTGAACAGTTAGTACCATACACCTGACAAATAATAGGACACTTTTTGGCATGCGTGAGCCGTATGTGGCGTTTGGCACTTTCTTTCTTTGTTTATATTATTAGCAATTGTGTTGTGCACTTGTACACTCACGTTTATTCATACATCTTATTTAAATTATGTTATCCGGCCAAGGTCTATACAGAGCTTTCCATGCGCATCAGTCTCTTGAAATTTGCGTTGAATACAGCGTGTCATGCAGTGGGTGCAACCCCGTAAACTATGTATTATTATTGTTATAAAACCACCTTATGCAGGGTTTGTGCTACACTTGATCACTGCAACCATTTATTACGACTAATTCTAACCATCTGACCAGACAAGTACAGAATTAAACAACTATAAATTAGATTTTCTTCGATTATGTTTACGTCCTCTGACTGCGGTCAGGAGTGATCAACTGTTTGTTAACGTATACGAGAGTACAGAAAACAAATTTGTTTAAGTCTCATAAAGGCGTAGAACAGAAAAACATGAATATTATAAGAATTATAATATTATTTCACCTTTTAATTGCACGCTATATACATATATATTTTAATATTATAATTATCATAAATTAGAATAAGCATTCAAGTACAGAGTGGACAATACTTTACTCTGAAATCTTTCAAGTTTAGGTATTTTGCCGATTAAGATTTCTGATATATTATAAATATAAATCCTGTTAAAATTATCTTTAGTACTCTTGAAATCGTCAAATTGATTGAAAAGTATCACTCATTCGAAAGGCTGATTGATTGCCCTGAGAAGAACGAGTAACTCTAGGAGTTACATTTTGTAAATATGTAGATATTCGTGCATTTAAATAGTTTTTACGAAAAAATATTTACAAATATTCTATAAAAACAACTTGAAAGAGCCTTAGGTCTCTCCGTTTACGGGACAATCAAATTTGAGTTTAATTGTCTATGTTATTGACTTACAATTATATGGACGTCGGGTCCGCGCTAAAAAGTGTCTGAACTTATAGGGCGTTAAAATCGTATACAGAGCGTCATTCACGCTTTAGTCTTCGTTTGTTCGACTGACAGCGAAGCAAGCAAAATTAGGCAGCACTGCGATGACATTACAATTTAAATTCAACGTTTTAGCTTTTTCATATTCCTTTACATGTCACTACGTTTAAATAGGTTGACTTGGGACATTTTTTTCGTGGTTTTTGTATTAGACCCGTCGTCCATTTATTTGTAAGTCAATGGTCTATGTACTAAAGTTAAATGAGTTCTTAAATCTTTTTAACGACTACTTTCCGAGTTTGTTACAATATTAATGTAAGAATCAACCGACGTCGTTTGTTTTCATTCTGTTTAAAAATGTTTACAGATTTCGTTCGTACAGCATACCATTTCATTTTCCCGTTACCCGATGAATCAGATAGCCTAAGCACATGAATGAGCAATCGTGACGTCATTATAATATTATTCATGATTCGATTAAACTGAATAATATTCATTATGTTCACAGTAAGTGGAGTAAATATTAGTTTAGCTACGATATACTACGACGCTTCCGTTGATGGTTTTGTGGAATGAAATATAATAAGGGACTCTACTTTTTAGGTCGCTTCAGTCCCGCGTTTTTACTACGTGTTTTATGTGGAGTATTATCATATGCGGTGTCGAAGTCTATTGACGCTATCGTCGTGGATAGTGCAAAAACGTCGATCGATTTCTGACTTTCTGTAAGTCAATGGCAATCATTCGTGCCAATTTGAGTTTTAGTACCTATGCAAAACTCAATTGGCTACGTGTTTCAGATACGCGGAATGATCCAATGTTAGTTACACGGAATTTCACTATAGCCGAAGATATGCCGTATAAAACGTGTATACATCTAGACAGAGGTCCCGGTGGGTCGGGCGTCACTAAATAATTGTTTTTCTCCCGCTAAATACGACTACAATAAAAAGTAGTGACATAAAGCTAATTGAATTTCTTCAAATACAGAAATAAATATCTAGCTGGACGGCTCGAGACAATTTTTGTCTGAAAACTGAGATTTACTCTGGAAACGAAGTCCGTTTGACCTGACTCCGACTTTTAGAGATATATCCGATAGTCGACCGTCTCTTGCAACTTGGAATGGACCTGTCGTGCACTTTGAACTTCGGCAGATACATTGAATCCATGGCCAAAAATGCAGCCAGTAAGTATCCTTTCCAAGGTTACTCTCACCGGGACTATTCCTATATCTTTTCTACATAAGTTTTGTTTATAGTGACCCTATCAACCTCTTGGGTATAGAAAGGGTACTGTAACCTGTGCAAGCAAGCCCGCACAAGGACCTTCTCAGTCAGATCCTGACTCCAGATCACGGATTTCATTCACTCACACTGAGACAGTGGTTTCAGTTCAGCATAAGTCCGGTCGTGTATAGAGTACACTGCTGCCACCTACGGGATGGTTCTGCTGAATACCAAATGAACACCTTGGATTCAGTTGAAAAACGTGGCAAGAGGCTTATAAGTGACTCGTATTTAGTAGAAGTGGAGCTGTAGAGTCTTGAACACCTCCGTTAAGTTGCTTGCTTATCGGTATTTTACAGAATGTATCATGGAGAGTGTGCGATGATGGATTTACACGATTTAATTCCGCCTTCCCCTTTTGCGTTACCGAGAGTATTCAACGTAGGCTTAGATTCCACTATGTTGTGTATACATTATATTCCAAGGATTCGTAAGAAGTGCTACGCTTCCACATTTATATGGCGAACGGTTATGGAGTGGAATTTCTTGTCTGCAGCCTTATATTATGAAGGTTTAACTTGGACCTTTTCAAAGTGAGAGGGAATAGGCATTATTTAGGTGAGCATGCTCCTTCGTCATTATCACTTTCCATCAGGTGAGATGGACATAAATCCGCACTCATTTTTTTTATATAAAAAAAAATGAAAATTCTTATTCGTTGTTCCATTGATACAAAAAGGGGACAAGGTTAAGTAGCAGTAGAGCTTCGAGTTTGAGTTCGTCCAGGAAGGACTGCTTCCTTGACCATTTCAGCCGCCGAGCAGTTTTAGAGAGAGCTTTAGAGTCTCACATGTTTAATGCGTGTCATTAAACATGTGAAACTGCCTCCGTGGCCGAACGGTTACCATGCCGGACTGCCACGCAGAGGTCCCAGGTTCGATTCCCGGGCCGGGAGAAATATTTGTATGACCTATATTTATTTATCTCGTGAGTTTGGGTGTAATTTGTGGTTGTCTATGTGTGTGTCCATGGCACCCGCGACACAGGGTTTCCCTAGTGCGGGGCTATGTTGAGTGTGTGCGTTATTATTATTATTATTGTTGTGAAGCACAAGTTTTTTCAATACTTTATGCATAAGTCATGATCGATACTTTGTGACAACGTGTGCGGCCATCATAGATTTAGGATGTTTTCGTCTATGGCGGCCATTATCATGACGCGGGTATCTCCTCGGTTCTTAACATACGACAAAATAACGAAATATTTACTATATTGGTTACATAAATAATCTCGCTACGTTTTGTTAAGATCCCGGCAAAATGGAGTCAATTCAACAAAGCCCCACAAAAACACGAAATTACGTGACAAAGTAATTTCTACGTTGAAAACGAAGCTAGGTTAAGTTAATTGATTACACGTGGATGTTTATTGAGAAGTGCGAAGTTTAGTTCCGGGAAGCACTTTGTTAATTGATGTAGTTCTAGTCAAACGCCAGTTAGGTAAATACACACCCTGTTATAAATAGGGAAAGGTCGGTATACCTTTGGAAATAATTTAATTTAGCCCGTTAAACGTGAAATGTGTAGAAGTATTTTTAATCTCACCTTTTGTTTCTCTATTTGATATCCGATAAACAGCAAGACTATAATTTGATGGTCATATCTTCAAGGCGA